TAACAAAATGTCAGTACATATGACTAAGATATGAAAAATTTGAACTGAATATCCTGAAAGTTCAGAAATAATTTTTTTTAAATCAGATAGTTTCCAAAAATCAAACGAACTAAACCCCCAGGGCTTTATCTGAGGGAGGCCCTGCGATTTCTGTGCATGGAAGCACACAGGCTGGTCATTCCAGACACCCACACCTGGCTTTGTTGGGAACGGGACAGGTGGTCGGTCACGAGCTAGAAGGTGTCATGGATTGTGGGGGGAGTCAGTCTGAAAATATATTTGTTATAAATGTGGGGCTAACGCACCAAATTAATTCCTGGTGTTAAGTATCAGTAAACGTTACAAATAAACATTTTAATTCCTGTCATTGCTCTTTTGGTAGAACATCTAGAGGGAAAATGTAAGTGCATTAGTTATTCATTGAGTATCCCTGAATTTTAAAGAACCATTTAAAAGCTACATTTATAATGTAGTGAAAAGCTACACTTTAATTGTTTTTAGCAATGACAAAGCACACAGAGCCCTGCAAAAAAACTTAAGGAAAATCATAATGGGTAATTGTGTGTATTAAAGCAGATATTATAATAAGTTCTTTTTTTCATTCTGTTGTTTGCAAAGTAACTTCCCAAATCTGAGGAAATTTTAAGCAACTCTGATTTGAAAATTCTTTATCAGCACAGGTCATTCCCAAATGCCCATGCTTCATGTAGGACAATATTCATTGCCATGGTCCCCAGACTCATTTGAAATCGCCGAAATTTAGTTATATCTCAGTTTTTTTTGTTTTTTTTTTTTCTTGCTTCTCTATTTTTTTTCCAAAAGTTGGGAGCATTGCCTATCTGGGCATGATGATTTCTCACAATAGGTTTCAAACATTCAGTGAGAGGACTTCCAAAGCCGCATCCTTTTTGTTTTCAGTTCTGAGCGCTCTAGAGATTCTTCTTACCACTGGCTGTTTTGCAGCAGACTTTTTCTGAGGTATAACAGAGCCGTCACGACTTTTGAGTCATGGGAAAAGCTACAGGGAACAAATATCAGGTCAGCTTTCGCATTTCATAATTGTTCAGGAGAAAGCACTGGGGACAACCTAATGATCCCCATCTGGAGTTCCCTATTTTGAAAGCTCCCAGGCTCTCTGTCCATTTGCTCATCCCTTCCGCAAACCCCCTCTGTTCAGTTACTGCAGTCCCAGGACACTCCATGTCTGGTATGACCAGCTCCACTGCTGGCTTCCACCTTCAGAACTGTTATTGACCACTGCTTTTCCACGTACATCTTACCAGTGTGTCACCGTCCCAGACACTAAACAAATGTTTGGCGTTGGAATTAAATAGAATCAAGAAAATACTCATTTTACCCACTCATGGCAGTCGTGTGATGTCTCCATTTAGATACGTCTTCTTAGACTCTCATAATAAAGTTTTAGGATGTCTTTTCCATAAAAGTCTTGCATATCTTTGTTATCTTTATTCCAAGGTACTACAGTCTTTGTGTTGATTTTGCAAGAGGTTTTTACGATATTTTCTTATGGTAACAAGCTCTTCATAAGAATTCACAGTTATTCTAAGATTCAGTAAGTAGCCCTACTAAATTCTCATTAATTTCAATAATATTTCTATATATCTTCTTGGGTTTTCCTGGTAGGCAACCATATTTTCTATGAATAATGTAATCTTCATTTCCTGGTTTCTACTCATTTGTGGCTTTGAAATGCCTCCTATATATTTTTTTCCCTCCACTATTCATTTCTAACCTAAATGCACTGTAATCAGAGAAATTGTCCATATGATAACAACTACTGTAAAATTTTTTGGGTTTTGCTCTATGAAATATTAGGAAAATCAGTTTGCAAAAATGTGCCATGTGTGCTTAAGAATATTATATATTCTATAATTTTCAGTGCCTACCAAATCAAGTGGTTGATTTCATTCAAAAACGTTCTGTATCCTTAATAATTTTTGTCCTCCTGATTTACCAATTGCTAACAGATGTGTGCTTAAACCTCTTCCTATAATGGTTGACTTGTATATTCCTTCCTTCACTTCAGCCAATTATTTTCTATATACATTTTGAGTCATTTTTATTAGAAACATACAAGTTTAGGATTATTAGGGGTTTTCTGGTGAAATTAAAAAGCATCATGATATGGTGATAGTTAATTGTTGTCCATATTAAGACATTAAAATTTTGGGGTGCCTGGGTGGCTCAGTTGGTTAAGCATCCGACTTTGGCTCAGGTCATGATCTCAGGGTCCTCTGATGAGCCCCAAGTTGCTGGGCTCCCCGCTCAGCAGGGAGTCTGCCTCTCCCTGTGCCCTTCCTCCTACTTATGTGCTCTGCCCTTCCTCCCACTTATGTGCTTGTGCATGCTTTCTCTCTGTCGAATAAATAAAATCTTTAAAAAAAAGACTTTAAAATTTTACTTACTTCTGTGCATATTTGCTTGGTAGGTTGTATTTAGCATTTTGCTTTCAACATTTCTAGATGTACAAACAAGATATACTTATTTTTAATTCAAAATGATCTATCTGGATTTAAATGGCTATTTTTGTCACATTTACTGTTCATGATTACTCATACATTCTTATGTTATTTTGTTGCTCATTGTTTCCTCTTCTTTTTAAAATTTTATTTCCTACCTTCTTTTGAATTAATTAAGTTTTCAAAATCCCATTTTTTTCCTTCCTTCCCTCTATTGATTTGAATATTGCATAGTTGCTATTCTTTAGCGGTTACACTTAAAATTTTAACGTATGCACTGTAAGCAAATTAATGCTAAAAAATTTCTATGAAACAAGTTTTAAAGTTCAATCATGTTTTTATTTCTAAACATGGCTTTAGTTCCTTTGTCAATCACAATCATTTTGTTAGTAGGATCTGATTGTCTCCTCCTGTTTCAATTCCATATATGCCGGGATACGTGACTGGTATCTAGTATTTGCCTCTTTTATTTTTTTTAACCTCTGAGTTTACACATTTCTTTCCTCAATATTTTTTCTTGCATCTGACACTCTCCTTACAAGATCACCTACTTTTCATTCTGAAAACCATTCTTGAAGCTTCCTCTTGCGGAGTCCGCTGGTGGTATATTTCTTCTGTGTCTGTCTGTCTGGGTGTTCACTGTATCTCGGCTGGGGACACACTCGGAATCGGACGGTCACTGTACTCCTGCACAGCGAGGGGAGTGCCTGTGCCCATGGGCTGAGCTTGGCTGGCTCCCACGGTCCTTGCTTTGGCATCTTTTGGTCATCTCTGCCCCCTTTCCCATTCTCTTTAATCTTCCTTGGTTTCAGCATGACGTGTCTACAGACGGATTTACTTTTATTTATCCTGTTGGGTATCCCAGTATTTTCTCAAATCTGGTCATTTCTTAGCTATTCATTATCACCCTTAATTATCGCCAATCTCCTCTTTTGAAACTTGACTCAGACACCTGTTCAGCCTTCTCCACACCACCCTTCCCTGCCCTGCTTTCCTTCCCCCCATGCAAGTCTCTCTGTGCTAGAGTCCCTGCCACTTATCTGTACACATTTTCCATTTCACCAGTGTTCTGATCACTTGTGTCTAATATCTGATCTGACAAGTCTTAAATTTCAATGATCAGATTTTCATTTCTAAACATCCGTTTGGTTCTTTTGGAAATCGTGATCACCTTTGTCGACGGTATCTGATTGCTTTCTCATGTTTCAATCCCAGGCCTTATTTTTCCAACAGCTCACGTATTTCTTTTATCTTATGTTCTTAATGCATCCGTGACCTGGGATTTTTAGGCATCCGTTTACTCTGTGGATTCTTCTGCCTCCCACTTCTGTCCCCCGGGGCTGTGTAGCACTGATTGTGAGCTCATGTTTGGTGGCATTTTGTCTGCAGGAATCCTAGGGGAGGCCAGGCCTCCAGCAAGAATGTCGTGTAATTCTATGATGATCCATCGGTGCTGCTAACCTGCGGCCACACTAACTTAATTCAAGGACCATGTAAATTTGAACTCCAAATATGTATGAGGGCAGGTCTCATGCGTTTTCAGGGAGTTATTTCTTGCTACCTGGAGTGCGAGCTGGAAGACTTGTCCCTTTCCACCTTCTCTGTGGGTTTGGAAGCCTTCTGAGACCTCCAGCAATAGGGAGAGGTTTGTGTTCCATAATCCCCTTTTGTGCACTCCGGGCTTTGTTTGATTTCCCCTATGTGGCCATTTAAAAATGCAGCTAGCAGTGAAGGAGGTGAGCAAGCAAGCCTGGGTCAGCCATGGGGCAGTCGTTTATCAATTGGGTTAAACTTAACCGTAGGAAAGTCTGGTAATTGTACTTGCAGTGAATGGGAAACATTAAGCTGGTATTCCTATTTTGTCTTATTAGAAAAAAAATAAAATGGACATGATTAGTTATTCACAGGTAAACAGAAATAGCTACCTTAACACTTTAGGCTTCGGATTAATTACATTGTACACATCAAAGCTTATACCTTGAACTGGCTAGGGAATACTTTAATCTGTTCTCTTTATAGAACTGTCTCGTCCAATGTCTGCCTAAGTCACATAGTTTAAGCAATAACAAATTACAGTTTGCACAGGGAAATTATATGGAAATCACCATTCATTCCGGTCAGCATCACAGTTGCAGTAATATTGAGAATCAAGGCAGTTCCCCTGTAATCCACAAGCACATTTTTGAGCATCAGGCAGAGAACCTCCCCAGTAAGTGTGTGTTTCATTGGTTCTTCCAACCCACCAGCTCACTGGGGTTCCATCTGAAAGACAAGTATGAGAAAGGTGACACCTACTTTGCCCCCCACTGCCTGCCTCCCCAATATAGTCCTTTACTCCCCTTTATTTGAAACATAGAGACTATTTTAGACGTGAGCAGATGTTAACTCCGCAACAGGATCATTTCTAAGAGGACTTCCAACTGTTTAAAAAATACTTCCATATCAAGACTTACATTCTCACCATATGTTTTACTTTTATTAGAAAATGAGCAAGTCGTCCCTACCTCATTCAGGCATGATATTTACATATTTCTCTTGAGGACTCCAATCACATCATTTATCTGGACATAACATAACAAAGAACTGTCATTTAAAAAAAAAAAAAAAGAAAACCGGAGAAGTTTATACCCTGAATCCAGAATCTGTTTGAGAGCCTAAAATGCCACGGGAAGAATGTAATATTCTGAGGCAAAATACGGATTTCTTATCTATTAGCTGAAATCACTGGTACTATTCTGTCATGTCTTAAAAGTCTCGTGGAAGAATGTGCTTCTTCTTGTACTGAATGGGTTGGCTTTGTATTTGGAAACCACAGACATGGTGCGGACAAGCCTCCTTCACGCCTGAGGTGGGTCCTGGGCTCAGCACAACTGAGGCCAGGAGAGCTCGCTGCTTCAGCACAACCTCCTCCTCAGGGCAACCCACAGTTAACCGACAGGGCCGGAGGCCGCCTCAGCTCTGCAGGGCTGTGGCCACTGCTGAGACCCCAGGGCAGATGTGCAGGGCACCTGGGTGAGGCTGATTAGGAGGCAGGGCCCTCCGGAGGGTGCGGGGAAACAGTGCCTCATAAACAGAGAATCAGAGCAGGAGGAGAAATGGAAGTGACCTCCATCAATCGGCCTGCAAAGGTGCCCGTCCATTTCAGCATGCTCTCTCCTTCAAACCCTCAGGGTGTCCCCACCCGGCCCCCACCAGGCATCTGGAACACATCCCACCTTCTCCCTAACTTCCAGGCCACCACTCCCTGTTCGATGAGACTTCACCTTCTGCCAACAGCCTCCCAGCTGGTAAACACACGGGCTGTATTCATTACCGCCCACTGCAGGCCCGCTGGGTGAGATGTGCACCAAGAAATCAAGGTCTGCAATCTTTTTTTTTTTTTTTTCTCAGTGTGTTGAAAACTTATCTCTAGGGGGTGGAAGATCTTTTCAACTTAAACGGATATTTTTCAAAACACCATTTTAAACATGTGATTATTCAACACTCATTCTTTTCATAGATGGAGGAGCGAAGAAATCATTGCACACAGATGCACAACTGTTTGTTTACATCCGAATTTTTCATTTTCTCTATAGAGTAAGAACCAGCAAGTGTTGTTAAAGGTACAGAATGCATTTGGCTCCTTTCAAGGTTTCTCTGAGAGATCTAGAGAATTTGCAGAAGGAGTCATTAAGAACAACACGAAGAAGAAGAAGGGGCTGGAAGGAAAGGGAACAGGGCTCCCTGGCCTCCAACACCTCAGCCCCTGGTTGGCTGTCCATCACTCCGGCCACAACGACAATCCTCAGAGACCTTAGCGCTCACAGTATGGAGACTGAACAGTCTCCTGGAATCAACCCTTGCTGTCCTTGAGCTCCCTCTTTAGCCCCGCAGAACCACATCCCCCTGAAACCATCTACAGCATAGAGACCTAACAGCTGCTGCAGGAAAAAGGCCGCCGGACCCCACTGCTCCCCAGCAGCCCTCTTGGGAAACCACGCAACCCAGGGCCCACGACACTGAGGCCCCAGCCTTGCATTCTCTCCTCTCACGATTAACCCTGGGTTCCTGATAACGTCTGAGAATTTGAACACGAGGAAATTCTTGGGGAAAAAGTGGATTTCGACGGACATTCCCATTCCCAGTCCTCTCTATGACACTCTTAATCTCCTGGCTCCGCACGCGGCAGCCACCTGGCGTGGTTCCACACTGCGACATTCTACTGAAGGCTCCCGGTGGAGGCTCCTTGTTACCACTCCTCCCACTCAAGGGTAGCATCATGCTGCGCTCGGCCTTTCCTGTCTATCGATGACGCACCGCGAATTAGTGCAACCATTTTAAGGCGTATTAGGCTATGCTATTTTAGGCCTACCTCATCTGCACCTGAATTAAGAGCTTCTGGAATTATACAGGTCTGTACTGAGTCTGTCTAAATGAGGTTTGTACTACAAATTCTCCAGTAGCAGAATATAAGAAATGCAGCCACCTCAAGCCCACTGCAGGCCCTCTGGGTCTATCCTGTCATGTCTTCATGCACAACCTCCTCCTCAGGGCAACCCACATAATAATGAAGTCCCTCGTTTTGTCTCTTTAGCGGGTGTTTAACAAGTTTAAAAGCTTTTCCTCATTCCATCTTTTACCCCAACCCTAGCTAAAGACTTGGTTTTGTTGCTTCTGTTGCTGCTTTATACATTGCTATGGGAAGGAAGGCAATCAAGGAATCACTTGCAAATCAATGAGGGAGACACTGGCCCTCCATGTGGGGATTCTTTACTGACCCACACGGTATGTCCAGGTTGTGGGACAGACCACACGTCAGCGTGCACGAGTTTGCTCCCGGGTTCACTGGGTGGTTTTGCCTTCTGACCCCGCTAGCGGCTGGTGTCAACACTGCTCCGCCTTCGCCTCCTTTCCCTGGTCCGACAGCCCAACCCACATTATTCCATAGCACCGAGTTCCTCCCCTGGAGGCTGCTTTCTCCTTCCTCCGGGAACATACCAGTTTAGCTCAGTCATCTATTTGGCAGAAATCAACTCACAGTAAGCACTAAACCCTCTAGCACTAACTATGCATTCAATACATCGGAGAGAGGCAAATAAGTAGCGTTTGCTTCATGCATTTTATCAATGTTGTGCAATTAGGTCCTGGCAAGGTTAGTGTCTGAGTGCTAAAGACTCTGAGGGATGAATCCCAGGGCCGCTGAGCGACAGGCTCGGAACCCGAACTCAGAGGACCCTGACTACTGCCCTCCACTCACTCCACTCCCCAGATGCCTGATCAGCCTCCCGAAAACCAAAGAGTGTCATGAGGGCAGCGGGGTTGCACGTTCTGACAAAATGAGGTATTCCAAAGGAAGAAAATACAAAACCAAAAATAGAATTTTCAAGAATAGAATAGATATGAAAAATGAGCCACCAGCAGGTATGTTGTCTGAGAGGAGCTTCATGATACCAACATTGTTCTCTGGTTAATAATTACCCAAGAGACTAATAACATTCAGTCCATGAAAAGAATCTCATGGAATAATCACCTCCAGATAACTAAGCCATGCGTGATGTCAGCCATCTTTTCTAAGACAAAACATTCTTGAGGCGTTGCCGCCCTTCATGGTGGATGAGCACCAAGCGTTTGTGCTCGTAAAGAGGCTTTCATTGATCGGTTGCCCACTTGAGTCTGGGAAGAGACTTCATAGATCATTCACAGCTTTGAGCAAGGAGCAACACATATTGACCTTGCTCTTCGCTCCGAGGAAAAGCATCTCTGTAACTTCCAGATTGTGACATGGGCGTTATGGCCATGAGTCCTCATGCACCTGTGGCAGGCCCCTGCCACCTGCGGGCACGGCAGCCCACGATGGCTGATGACTCCCACTACTCACCGTGGCCAGTTGAAAGCCTTGACTTCTTGCAGTGGAAGGCCAGCTCCTGTTGGCAGTGGTCCGCACGGTCAATGATGGCTTGGAGCTGGTCCATGCTGGCTGTGTACTTGAGAAACACGGGGTGGGGGCTTTCTCCATTCGAGCTTTTGACCCTGGCCAAGTGGGAGCCATTGTGCTGCACTGAAGTCCAGGTGGTGTCTTCTGGGCAGAAATGGGGTTGGAGGGGCGGGGGGAGAAAGAGACTGTGACTAGGTTGGAGCAATTAAAAATAAATGTGAAAGTCGGAAGCCACTTTTATCTGAATTAAGGTTTTTATGTTTGTAGCAATCAGGTCTCTTTGACATTGGAAACAACATAAGGGACATTGTTAAACTGTTAATAATGGGGACTCTCTTTTTTTTTTAAAGATTTTATTTATTCATTTGAGACACAGAGATACAGAGACAGAGAGAGAGCATGAGCAGGGAGAGAGGCAGAGGGAGAGGGAGAAGCAGGCTCCTCGCTGAGCCAGGAGCCCGATGTGGGGCTCGATCCCAGGACCCTGGGATCAGGACCTGAGCCGAAGGCAGACGCTTAACCGACTGAGCCACCCAGGCGCCCCAATGGGGACTCTCTTTATTGGAATTTGTTTTACCCTGAATGCAGCCAACAATTTCAGGGGGGCCAATTCTTAAAATTCTGTGTCATAATACTCAAAGTTATAAACAAAACTTTTTGTCCCTTAATTTATTTCTTTCCGTTACCGTAAAAACAAAACTAAGTTTTTATTGTGTGTATATATATATATACACACATATATATATATATACATTTTTTTAAATATGTATATTCCTCATCAGACTGAGCATCTTTTCCTCTGGTAATCAGAGAAATACATAAGGGACACATGGGAGGAATAAGCAGCTCAGGTGATCATGCAAAATGATAGGAAATAAGTATTTTTGACAAAAATTTGACTGATCTTGTGTCAGCAACTCATTCAGTGGCCAGCACTAAATAATGCAGCGCCTTGGAGAAGCCAATATAACCATTCCTGGCAGGAACCACAGCTACACAAATGTCTGCTGGCAAATTCTGATATATTTCTGTTATATTGATTACCTATATTTTTTAAAAGAGATTTAAAAACAATGAATGAGCACTCCACAATGTTTAAAACAAGAAGAGACACATCTAGCCTTCTTTTACCTTCCCCCAAATATAGCTCCTCCCACAGTGTAAAAGGCCCACGGTTCAGTGGCTAAAAGCCTGGCTTCAAGTTGTCCTAACTCAACTACATTTATAACATCAAGTCACGTAACTTCCTCTGTAACACGCATCTGGTACATACATGATCAGTCTACATATTTCCAAATTATAGGGGCTTGAAACAGTCGCATGAGGTTTGTTCTTATCACTTTTAATGGCTAATACCTAAACAAGGTTAAAAAGTCAAAATGATGCTACCAGGAACCCTCAGAGCACTCCCCACCAGCCCCTCCCCTGTCCTGCCCCGGGAAAAATCTAACAGCCACATTGGTGCTCACAGACCCCACATGCATCGATTACATCCAGAGATCCAGGGAAGAGAACCCCAAGGGCCATGGAAAGAACTCTAGCTCAAAGCCTATGAAAAACATCACCAAATATGCAAAATCTAGCAGGAACAGGAAGAGACTGTGAGTCAGCATGATTAATGCAGTCATATAGTCAGTTAGGAAAAAAGGCTTAATAGATCATCCCCTCTCTCTGCTCAACTGAAGGGGCTGCAAGTGTTCCTATAGCAACTTGAATCCCACAGGTTCCCCACCCCCACTCATGTTTTCACCAGACATTTTATATTTCAACATTTTCCCAGAAAATTACTTAAATGGACCTGGTGTTATTTTTTGCAATTACCTACTCACATTCACGGTCAGGGTTTCTTCCATCAGACAAAACGGGGTAAGAGTAGCCATGGAGAAGCCATGTGCTCTGTTTGGGAGTTCATCAATTCTAATGCTGGTGTATCATTTATTTTCATGGCTTATGGTACAAAGAAAAATGCTGTACTTGAGTGGCTCATACAGGCTAGTGGTCACTGTGATGGATTCACGGTCTTGCATGGTTAAAATGTAATCAGAAAAATCTTTTTCAAGTGGAGGGAAGGCAAAGCATGAACAGAATCTCAAAGCTGCCTTTTGAAAAAACAGAGAAATTTCAATGATTGCCCTTTCTGGATATATCATTTCCAAGACCCCAGCGAGGGCAGGTTAGGTTTTCCTGATGTGCCATAACATAGGACTTTCATAGATTTCCGAACTGTAACTGGGAAAGCACCTTTGAGATGCAATATAACCTAAGCTCTCAAGGATGAGGAGACAGACCAAGGAATTTAAGTGACCAGCGTGCTGGAAAAATACTTTGCTGTTATTCACTGTAATATGAAGCACAAATGGGATCTGAGGAAATTAATTGTAATGAGGGAAAAATTTAAACAGGATTTTTGAACTGTTGCATCAGACCACATCATGTCGTGCTCATCCAGCTCAGTGGAGCCTTTCATCGGCACACGAGCAGGGAGGCTGTCCGTGCTCCCGGCCCACCACTCGTTTAGGCAAATCAACCTAAATTAACTTGATGGTTTGGTTTGGTAAGCAGGATATAAAAAAATAACACTGACTCACCATATCATATGACACCCTCTAGTTTCTCTGTATTTTGCCAAATTATATCCACTTTGCAATTTGCAACCCCTCCTACACTGTATAACGTATCTCTGAACTATACAAGGAGGCTTCGAGGGAAAAACAGGTGGTTGAATGGGGAAAAGAAACACATCTTTATTTTTAACAGTCAGGTAAACATGACTCCAAAGCATATCAGCTATGCTCATTTTCATCTCCCTGAGAAAAAAGAAGAAAAAAAAGACCTCATCACAAAAAAACTTGATGCCTCTCTAGGTGGTCAGCCTGTCACTCAGGAGCTGGAAATTAATCTCAAGGAAAGGGAAGGCAAAAATCCCCTTTCTGACAGATGCCTGAAATGAAGTCTGAGTTGGGTCCAACACCACCTCTTTGGGAATGAAGCCAGCTGCCTGCATCTCTTCCAATGGAAAAGGGGTGCTCGAGTTCAAAGGAGAGGAGGAAGGCAACGTGCGAGGCGATTGGACCCGTTACCTCCCATGTGCAGATGAGGAACCAGTGGAAAAGGTGCGCTCACAGTGACACAGGATGGCGGACGGATGCAAAGACTAGCAGGTGTCCCGGGATGCCTGATGACACCAAGATGACGTGAACACCGCGTCCTGAGAGGTACAGCCCCAAAGCTTCTCAGAACTCCACTGCGTTACTCTCCGGAGGGAAACACCACAGCAGGTGGCCGCCATCTGTTACTCGGCTGAGGCCTCCTGCCGCACAGAACACGAAGGGAAGCCTAGGGACACCCCCTTGCTCAACTTCAGGAAACCATGCAACTTCACCACGCATTTCCAAGCAATCCAGTGTGAGCCACCGGGCTTTCTGAGTAGGTCAAGTTCTCAAAGACCGCTGAGGTCTGTGACCTTTCCGGAGTGCCTCATGCACCTGAGCCGTCTCCTGTTTTTCAAAGGAAAACACTCCCGGGGGGAATAGAACTAGATCACGGGCATTGAGGTGCACATATGTGCACACGGGGCTGGTGATGGCCAAGCGGCTGCTGTGAACATCCAGTGGGGGCCCCGAGGAAGACAATGGGGGGCTCTGATCTGCCCCTGCCCTAGGTCTTGGAGGCTCTGGCCCTGCCATGGTGTCTGTCTACCAGAGCCAGGGAGGATTAGATGTCTGTGTTTCACTGAGGGGAGGGATGACTCCTCCAAGCAGGCAGCCTCCAGGTCCCGGGAGAGGCCCAGAGGTGGTCCTGTCTCAGCCCCATGCCTTTGCATCCCTCCCAGTCAATACTTGCATTAGGGCCCTTAGAAGGGCTGCCGTTCTTGTCAACAGTTCTGAAGCCTTGAGCTTTGCATGATTTACTTTAATATTTTCCACACAAGAAAATGCTCTAAGACACTACTAACCCCCAAGAGAATGTAGCTACTTCACAGCCTTCTTCTCTGGGGATTTCAGAGAATGATCTTTTCACTTAATAGGTCACACAAAATGCAGCTTTATGTGTCTGCTCATTCATTAGTGTAGGCACCTGCTATTTAACATGGAAGGACACTTCTTCAACACGACTCACAGTCTCTTGAGGCAAGAGATACACGTGCGTGGCCCCGCACCGGGCACCTCCCAAATGCTCAGATACCATGAAATGTCATTAGCGTCTCCCCTCGCATTTCAGCCCACCACACAGCAAGAAAGCAGAATAATTTCCTTGGGGAGAACATTATGTATACACTTATAAAATTAGATATGGACGGAGAACTGTGTCATGGTCAATGAGAGAATATAGGTTATAATCTGTGCTCTTGGAAAAGTCAAAAAATTCTCTAAGCCTTCAATGCCATACTTGGTAAATGGGGAGGGTGAACCAGGTGGCATCGAAAGACTGAAAACTATTGCTCTGGCCATCTTCAGATGCCAAGGCAATTAACTGGGCATGCTGCTGGCTGAGCTGCAATCTGAGTGTTGTATTTTTATTGTTCCTCAAGACCATTTGCCTGTCCATCCGCAGGCAGGGCTGTGGTGATGAGAGCAGGAAAATGAAATTTCCCAAAACATGTGTCTTTTCTCCCCTGTTGGGAGCAGTGACAGGACCTGCTCAGGAAGTTGTGCATCCCCACGCACCCTGGGCATGCCTACTTTCGGAACTCCCTTTAGGAGCTGCAGGAGATCAGCCAGAATGATGTCCCCTCAGTGGGAGCAGGAAGGATTCTTTCCAGGCAAAAGCCAATATAAAAAGATGCAGGGTCATGGTGCATGACAATCATCAAAGAGCAGCTTTTCTCTCTCTTTCTCTCTCTTTTTTTTCCTTAGAAATTCTAACATTTCAACACTATAGAATTTTCTGTAAGAGATACTATTTTCAAACAAAACTTGCCACGCATGACATATGATGATGCCATGCTTACTGTCAATCTCAGTTTTCAAGAGCAAAGCAGAGAACAACGAAATCACGACTCTTTCCAAGCAAAGAAAAATATATACTGTACCAGCTGTGCATGTGTTCATGAAATAAACTCACCAACCCACACTCAGAGCCTTTTTTTTTTTTTTTACAAATTTCCAACAAGTGTTCATATATACAGGGATACCTCAGAGATA